TTACCGAGTGAGATAATAGTGGTATTTATCGAGCGTGGTTCTGGGACGGTTAGAAAAACACGTGCGAACGAAGGAACTCAGAAACTCGCTGCACTCGAAATTACTAAACTAATATGGAAAATATAATTAACTACGACAGCTCATCTTCAATATATACTTATAAATAAAAATATATAGAAATTTTGTAATTTTATTTAACTATAAAGAATTCACATATAAATTTTTGTTGGTATAATAACCATTTTATTTAAGATCATGCGTTGACAATTACTAAATTTTTTCAAGGGTTTGTTTCATTTGTAGTATGTGATTCCCTATTGTGAATTATAGCGATGTTTAATTAGTGGTTGGGTTGGTGTGTGGTGGGAGGGGAATGATTGGATCAAGTAATTTGGTCCCTTGGAAGATGCAGCAGATGCATTCTCTTGAGTCTTCTGGTGGTGTTCCTGTTGTCCAGCACGCCAACTGCAAGGTGGTTGAGAACCCTATGGATGTAAGAATTGTCAATGGTAAATATGTGCGTTGGAAACGGGCAGTGCTTTGTTTTAAAATATCTGGATCTAAGACACTAAGCACATGCTTGGGCTGTGTGACGCACTGAGGGAAGTTTTTGCCATCAGATTTAGGCCATTCAAAACGAACAATATACTTACATAAAAAGCAGATTCCGAATATGGTGTTGCTCTTTTCTGAATTTGGAGCTTATTCAATAAAGATATTCGGTCTTAATGTGCCAGAGCAATGCCAATTTTGTAACTTGGGGCTATATACTCTTATGACCTCATCCCATCCGTGTCAGTTCCTGTTTGATATGGCCAGTGTTGGAGGCTAAAATGCAACGCACTGTTCACTCTTCATCGGTACGTATTGTATTGGCAGTCTTTTTCCTGGTCAAGTATATTAACAGTCTATATGACTGTTGTTTCTGGAATAATTTTTATATATTCAGGACCACTCAGTCTTAGCTTAGATTCAGATGGGTGGATTATTTGCTTCGAATTTAGTGAGAATAGAGTCTAGAATTTAATCTGTCAGGGTTTTGATGTATTGAGCTGTTCTGCAAAACTGCAATATGTGGAGGCTTGTGATTCATATTGTTGACACAAGGCAATCTAGGGTGATTGCGCTGTTTACGCAGCGAAGCTAGTTTTCAAGCACTAGAAAGATGCCCTGCATCCTCGTTGGAATCAGGATTTTCGATGGTTAGTTGAGAAAAGTCACTCGTAAATAGTGCTTCGCGGGATAGGGAAGGCGAAGGCGACAATGCCAACGCGGGCGAGGAAGAATGGGATATTGTTATTAAAAGAAAAAGAAAGGGAAAACTTTGTTTAAAACCTTGTCGAAGGTGAGGATTTAAATTCTATATAAACTTTATTATAACCAGTTTTTAGAAGAAATGTTTTGATTTTTGATATTTTTTTACTATTTTCCGAGTCTTAAATTTTTTGAAGCGCTCTAGTCGAGTTTTAGAACGGACTGAATATGTTTGTATGTAAGTTTACGTACCTAGAGCAAATTTGACATTTTTAATTTCAAGGCATACTAGGAAAAAGAAAATATTTTTTAAAAATTTAAGTATATTTGATGTTTGTTATTTGGCATTCAGTTTCGACATGAGAGTCGAGTGAGAAGTTTCCTATTTCAGATTTTACTTTTTAGGGAAAGTTGGGTAACAATTAAGAGAAGATGGAAGCTAATAATTTTATGAGAAAAGAGAAGGATGAAGAGTTCAATTATCTCCATAAAACTAGTCGTATTGGGTAAGAAAATTTTCCCATTTCGATTTTCAGGCATATTTGTGTCAATATATATAAAAAGGCCGAAAAAACTGCCTTTCACCAATCGGGCTTCAGGCTTCAAGATACTTTGCGGCTTTTAAACAAATCTGGAAAAATTAAGGCTGATTGGTCGTTGATATAATAAATATATTCATGTGGATCAATGACACCAAGCACATGCTTGCTTATAGGAGGTGTTTTGAAATTTGGTACTTGAATAAAGGAGACCAGCGCTCGCTCCCTATGTCAAGCACAAGCCACGGCAAAGTATTAAGGAGAAACTAGAAAGCACTGAAGTGTTCATTATAATACACTCCAGTGAGTCCGAGTTGTGATTTATTAGTTGACAAATAATGGTAGTAAGAGGATGGCTGCCTCTTATTTAATTTAGCGATTTTAGCTAAATATTTTCCAATTTTGGGAGTGTTCGCATATCTATATGCTATTTACTTACAATTTATCTGGACAGGGCAGCTGGACAACGC